TGTGGAGGAATGTGCAGAATGTCACACGATGTCCACCAGACGTCCTGACACACAGGAGTGACGTGGGCCGAGTAACCACGAGTCATGATGAGAGTCTTCTCAAAGATTGCGATAATCTGGAGGTCCACGACGCTGAACTACACCTCTGCACCTACACTCCTTGTACGGGGATACAGTGGGAGTAGCAGGAAAGTGAAAAGAGAAATTCTTCATTGATTGACTCCAACCACGACCCCCCACCCCCCCCACCCAAAAGGTTGCAAGAGATTCCTCGAGAGACGATAGATTGAACTACAATAACTGCCGGCCCAAGGGGGGACTTGTCCGCCCCACGACCACATAAGGGGGTGGGGACTTGTCCGCCCGCCGACCACCTAAGGGGGTGGGGGGACTTGTCCGCCCGCCGACCACCGCCGACCACCTAAGGGGGGTGGGCTGCTCTACTGGCCACCAACCTAAGGGGAAACGTCCCCACTGGTAGTACCTACACACCAAAAGGGAGTTATTCACCAAATGGCTGAAGATGGAAGATCCCTTCAACCACTTACTGAGCAGCCTACACCCTACTTCCCCATGCGGTGGTGTGGGGGGGTGATGGGCGGAGACTGTGGCACATGTACAGGAGAGCTCTGGGGACACAACTCTTACACCCCCTTAGTACATGGGGGATATCAGGTGTGATGGGGGGGGGCCCGGTAATTATGACAGCAGAACATTTAGGATCACCCCGAACTTCGTGCATCAAGTGACGGTCATCACTGCAACCGCGAGAACCGGGAGCCCCCCGCAGGAAAGTCACAGATTTCGGAGTTTGCAATAACATTTACACGTCTAGAACATATGATACACGTCTACATACATATATCACCTCCCCCACCTACAGATCACCTACTACTCTACCCCCCCCGACCTACCGATCACCTACTTCCCCCCCACCACCACCACCGATCACCTACTCCCCCCCACCACCGATCACCGATACTACTCCCCCCCACCACCGATCACCGATCACCTCACTACTCCCCCCCACCACCACCGATCACCTACTCACCCCCCCCCACCACCACCACCACCACCGATCCCCACCCCCCACTCCCCCCCCCCCACCACCACCACCGATCACCTAACTTCCCCCCCACCACACCACCACCCGATCACCCCCCCCCCCACCACCACCACCACCAACCGACTCACCCCCCACCCCCCCCCACCACCGATCTCTACCTACCCCCCCCCCACCACCACCCCTACTCCCCCCCCCCCCCCCACCACCACCACCACCACCGATACTCCCCCCACCACCCCCCCCCCCTACCACCACCGATCGCCTACTCCCCCCCACCTCCCCACTATCACCCCGATCGCCTACTCCCCCCCACCACTACCACCACCGATCGCTACTCCCCCCCCACCTCTACCACCACCGATCGCCCTACTCCCCCCCACCTCTACCACCACCGATCGCCTACTCCCCCCCCCCTCTACCACCACCGATCGCCTACTCCCCCCCCCTCTACCACCACCGATCGCCTACTCCCCACCACCACTGACGCCTACTCCCCCCCACCACTACCACCACCACTGATCGCCCCTACCCCCCCCCCCCCCCCCCCCACCACCACCGCCCCCCTCCCCCCCCCCCCCCACCACCACCACCACCACCCCACCACCATCGCCTACTCCCCCCCCACCACTACCACCACTGATCGCCTACTCCCCCCCCCCCCCCCACCACCCCACTGATCGCCTACTCCCCCCCACCACCACTGATCGCCTACTCCCCCCACCACTACCACCACCGATCGCCTACTCCCCCCCCACCCTACCACCCCCGATCGCCTACTCCCCCCCACCACTACCCCACCACCGATCCCTACTCCCCCCCCCCACTACCACCACCGATCACCTACTCCCCCCACCACCTTACCACCACCGACCACATCCCCCCCACCACCTACCAACGATCACCTACTCCCCCCCCCCCCCGACTACCACCACCGATCGCCTACTCCCCCCCCCACTACCCCCCCCACCGATCCCTACTCCCCCCCACCACTACCACCACTGATCGCCTACTCCCCCCCACCCCCACCACCTAACCCCTCCCCCCTCCCACCACCGATCGCCTACCCCCCACCACTCCCCCCCCCCAACCACCACCACCATCGCCTACTCCCCCCCCACCACTACCCCACCACGCCTACTCCCCCCCCACCTCCCACCACTGATCCCCTACTCCCCCCCCCACCCACCCACCACTCATCGCCCAACTCCCCCCCACCACTCCCCACCACTGATCGCCCTACCCCCCCCCACCTACTTACCACCACCCCCCTACTCCCCCCCACTACACCACCACTGATCGCCTACTCCCCCCACCACCACCACCACCGATCGCCTACTCCCCCCCACCACTCCACCACCACCGATCGCCTACTCCCCCACCACCCACCACCCACCTACTACCCCCCCACTCGCCTCCACTACCCCCCCACCTACTCCCCCCCACCCCACTACTGATCACCTACTCCCCCCCACCAACCCACCACCACCCACCGACTCCCCCCCCACCTATCCCCCCCCCCCCCCCTCCACCCACCACTGATCGCCTACCACCCCTACTCCCCCCCACCTCTACTGACCCTCACCTACTCCCCCCCACCCACCACCCCCCCCCCCACTACTGATAGCCTACCCCCCCCCCCTACCACCACTGATCACCTACTCCCCCCCCCACTACTACCACCCTGATCGCCTACTCCCCCCCACACACTACCCACCACTGATCGCCTACTCCCCCCCCCACCACTCCACCACTGATCCCTACCTCCCCTACCACCCACAATGATCGCCTACTCCCCCCCACCACTACCACCACCCCTACTGATCACCTACTCCCCCCCACCATACCACCCACTGATCGCCTACTCCCCCCCCCCACTACCACGTACCACCCCCCCCACTTGATCGCCTACCCCCCCCCACCTACTTACCCCCCCCCACCACTACTGACTCACCTAACCACTACTCCCCCCCACCACTACCACCACCAACTGATCGCCTACTTCCCCCCACCACTACCAATCCCCCCACCTACTCCCCCCCACCACTACCACCACTGATCGCCTACTTCCCCCCCACTCACCACTGATCCACCCCCCCCTACCACCATCACTGATCGCCTACTCCCCCCCACCACCACTGATCGCCTACTCCCCTCCACCACTACCACCACCACTGATCGCCTACTCCCCCCCACCACCCACCACTGTCACTGATCCCCCTACTCCCCCCCACCACTACCCACTGATCGCCTACTCCCCCCCTACACCACTACCACCACCACTGATCGCCCTACTCCCCCCACCACTACCACACCACCTGACCCCTACTCCCCCCCCACTTACCCCCCCCCACCACTGATCGCCTACTTCCCCGCCCCACCACTACCCCCCCCACCACTACCCACCACTGATCGCCTACTCCCCCCCACCACTACCACCACTGATCGCCCTACTCCCCCCACCACTACTCCCACCACCTGATCGGCCCTCCTCCCCTCCCCTCACCACCACCACTGAATCACCTACTCCCCCCACCACTACACCACTGATCGCCTACTCCCCCCCACCACCCCACCACTGATCGCCTACTCCCCCCCCACACACTGATCCACCCTAACCCCCCCCCCTCCCACCACTACCACCACTTGATCGCCTACTCCCCCCCACCCCCACCACCACTGATCGCCTACTCCCCCCCCACCACTACCACCACTGATCGCCTACTCCCCCCCTACCACCACCCACCACTGATCGCCTACTCCCCCCCACCACCACCCCCCCCTCCACCACCACTGATCGCCTACTCCCCCCCCCACCCCACCCCACCACCACTGATCGCCTACTCCCCCCCACCACCACCACCACTGATCGCCTACTCCCCCCCACCACCACCACCACACTGATCGCCTACTCCCCCCCCCCCACTACCACCACTGATCGCCTACTCCCCCCCACCACTACCACCACTGATCGCCTACCTCCCCCCCCACCACTACCACCACTGATCGCCCCCCTACTCCCCCCCACCACTACTGATCGCCTACCCCCCCACCACTGATCGCCTACTCCCCCCCCACCACCTGATCCACTACTCCCCCCCACTGTGATCCCCCCCATACCACCTGATCACCTACTCCCCCCCCAACCCCCCACCACCCACCAATGATCGCCTACTACCTTCCCCCCCCACTACCACCACTGATCGCCTACTCCCCCCCACCACCCCCACTACCACCACTGATCGCCTACTCCCCCCCCTCCCCTACCACCAACTGATCGCCTACTCCCCCCCTCTACTACCACCACTGATCGCCTACTCCCCCCCACCACTACCACCACTGATCGCCTACTCCCCCCCACCACTACCACCACTGATCGCCTACTCCCCCCCACCACTGATCCCCTACTCCCCCCCACCCTACACCACTCCCCCCATGATCGCCTACTCCCCACCACCCACTGATCGCCTACTCCCCCCCCCACCACTGATCGCCTACTCCCCCCCCACCACCACCGATCGCCTACTCCCCCCCCCACTACCACCACTGATCGCCTACTCCCCCCCCACCACTACCACCACTGATCGCCTACTCCCCCCCCCACTACCACCACTGATCGCCTACTCCCCCCCACCACTACCACCACTGATCGCCTACTCCCCACCACCACTGATCGCCTACTCCCCCCCACCACTGATCGCCTACTCCCCCCCCCCCACCACCACCGATCGCCTACTCCCCCCCACCACTACCACCACCACTGATCGCCTACTCCCCCCCACCACTACCACCACTGATCGCCTACTCCCCCCAACCACTACCACCACTGATCGCCTACTCCCCCCCCACCCACTACCACCACTGATCGCCTACTCCCCCCTACATACCTCCCCCACCAATCACATACCTTCCCCCCCCCCCCCCACCGATCACCTACCTCCTGCTCGTCCTTGACGAAGTAGCTCCCGCTGGACCCCTGATAGATCCTCTCCGGGAAGATCCCCCGGCTGATCGCCCGCTCCGCCCTCCGCACCACCTCCCCGAACTCCGGCTCCTCCGGGAAGTAGTTGTACTCCCGGCCGCCGGATCGGTCCAGCAGCGGCTGCCTCTCCCTCTCGGTGGGGGATCCGGGCGGGGAAGGAGCCGGCGGGGGCGGCGGTCCGCCCTGGGGGACCCGGATCACCACCCCGGGGAGACCGGGGAACCGGGAGGCGGGGCTCAGCTGTACCGGGGAGGCGGGCTCACACTCCGGGTCCCGCACCGGGGACAGTAGCGGGCTGTTCTCATCCATCACACCCCCAACACAGAGCGCTCGGCCCGACAGACACCGGGAGAGGATGGGGGCGGGACAAGCACCAGAGAGACACCGGGAGAAAGGGGCGAGACAAGAACCGGAGAGAAACCGGGAGGGGGCGGGACAGACACCGGGATAAGGGGGCGGGACAAGAACCGGGGAGACACCGGGAGATGGGCGGGACAAGCAACGGAGCGCAGCCGGTGTCCCGCCGGAGGGAAGAACGACAACAGCTGAACAGGTGACAATCAGCTGACTCACTCAGAAACTTCCGGATTGCCCCGACCAATGGGAACAGCGCGCCCAGCCACACCCACTGTCACCACACTGACCAATGGCTTGGCTTGCCCTTAACAATCATGGCGGCCAAAGCGATTCCGCACACTTTACATATGAATCGATAATCATACAACGCTCATAATCCAACAACAACTTCAGCTCCGAAATGTTTCCTTCCGACTCTAATTCAGTTTAATTTATAATTTAGAAAAGAGGAAATGGTAATGAGAATTTGCCCTTTTCCAAGATGGCGGCTAATACTGCCTAGAACACCTCAGGCAGAGATTCTGTATCACGGAAAATCCTCCCCCATGCGGCTCATATTCTCCAACAAAACCGATTCTCGGGATGGATCGGAGTTTTCACGTTTTATTTCTGTATTCGGTTTGATAATTTTGCGGATGTAATGGCAGTGAATGGGAAGATTTGCCCGTTTCCAAAATGGCCGCCACGCTCTCAGAGACATAGTTTACCATATTGATAGATCCGATCATTTCTTTAGCACGTTAATAAATAACGATTCGCAGCCGAAATTAGATTATTGACTTTCCAAACTACAAGGCGGAATATTAAGAAATAGGGGAATGGTTAGACGGGCGATGTGCCCACAGCCAACATGGCGGAGACAGCTTCCTCCAGAGGGGAACGTAGCCGTCCCTGCTGGCCAATGATGATCAGAGTTGTCATAGCAACGGGCCGGACAGACGGTGGCGGGGAGAGGGATGATCCGGGTCTGCGGGGCTCAGGACCGAACCGGAGAAACGGAGGGAGCCGTCTATGGGGAGCGGCGGAGGAGTCGGGCCTGACAAGTAAGAGGAGGGGGAGGGGACACTGAGCGCCGTACAGCCGGTCCCTGGAAATGGTTTATTCTCAGCACCTCAGATCCCTGAAAATGTATCTGTTTTGGGCCCGGGGTGCTGAGAACCAATCAACTGCAGGGACAGGGGGTGCTGAGAACCAATCAACTGCAGGGACAGGGGGTGCTGAGAACCAATCAACTGCAGGGACAGGGGGTGCTGACAACCAACCAACTGCAGGGACAGGGGGTGCTGAGAACCAACCAACCGCAGGCACACGGGGTGCTGAGAACCAACCAACCGCAGGGACACGGGGTGCTGAGAACCAACCAACCGCAGGGACAGGGGGTGCTGAGAACCAACCAACCGCAGGGACAGGGGGTGCTGAGAACCAACCAACCGCAGGGACAGGGGGTGCTGAGAACCAACCAACCGCAGGCACACGGGGTGCTGAGAACCAACCAACCGCAGGGACACGGGGTGCTGAGAACCAACCAACCGCAGGGACAGGGGTTGCTGAGAACCAACCAACCGCAGGGACAGTGGGTGCTGAGAACCAACCAACCACAGGGACAGAGGGTGCTGAGAACCAACCAACCGCAGGGACAGAGGGTGCTGAGAACCAACCAACCGCAGGGACAGAGGGTGCTGAGAACCAACCAACCGCAGGGACAGAGGGTGCTGAGAACCAACCAACCGCAGGGACAGTGGGTGCTGAGAACCAACCAACCGCAGGGACAGAGGATGCTGAGAACCAACCAACCGCAGGGACAGGGGGTGCTGAGAGAACCAACCAACTGCAGGGACAGGGGGTGCTGCGAACCAACCAACTGCAGGGACAGTGGGTACTGAGAACCAACCAACTGCAGGGACAGAGGGTGCTGAGTACCAACCAACGGCAGGGACTGGGGGTGCTGAGAACCAACCAACCGCAGGGACAGTGGGTGCTGAGAACCAACCAACCGCAGGGACAGAGGGTGCTGAGAACCAACCAACCGCAGGGACAGAGGGTGCTGAGAACCAACCAACCGCAGGGACAGAGGGTGCTGAGAACCAACCAACCGCAGGGACAGTGGGTGCTGAGAACCAACCAACCGCAGGGACAGTGGGTGCTGAGAACCAACCAACTGCAGGGACAGGGGGTGCTGAGAACCAACCAACTGCAGGGACAGGGGGTGCTGAGAACCAACCAACTGCAGGGACAGTGGGTACTGAGAACCAACCAACTGCAGGTACAGAGGGTGCTGAGAACCAACCAACGGCAGGGACAGGGGGTGCTGAGAACCAACCAACTGCAGGGACAGAGGGTGCTGAGAACCAACCAACTGCAGGGACAGAGGGTGCTGAGAACCAACCAACTGCAGGGACACGGGGTGCTGAGAACCAACCAACTGAAGGGACAGGGGGTGCTGAGAACCAACCAACTGCAGGGACAGGGGGTGCTGAGAACCAACCAACTGCAGGGACGGGGGTGCTGAGAACCAACCAACTGAAGGGACGGGGTGCTGAGAACCAACCAACTGCAGGGACAGAGGGTGCTGAGAACCAACCAACTGCAGGGACACGGGGTGCTGAGAACCAACCAACTGAAGGGACAGGGGGTGCTGAGAACCAACCAACTGAAGGGACAGGGGGTGCTGAGAACCAACCAACTGCAGGGACAGGGGGTGCTGAGAACCAACCAACTGCAGGGACAGGGGGTGCTGAGAACCAACCAACTGCAGGGACGGGGTGCTGAGAACCAACCAACTGAAGGGACGGGGTGCTGAGAACCAACCAACTGCAGGGACAATGCTGTTTGTTGATTCTCCGCACCCCGTTGGTGATGGTTCATTGCTCTCAGCTCTGGGAATGGCTCCTCTGACGCCGGATGGGGGCCATGAGCTCCTTCTTGTTGGGAGGGGGAGGAGCCTCTGCCTGTGTCCCTCGGGGGAAGTCTCTCTCCTCTTCCTGTCTTGGTGACAACATCTAAACTGGACGGGAAGTGGGAGGAAATCTCACACAGAGGTCAGGAAAGACCTGATAATAGGTTAAATCTCCCTCTGCTCTGTGCAGAATGGAACAATAAAGTTTTGTCTGCCTGGAGTCCTACTTTAGAGCCCCCAGAAAAAAAACTACCCCTGTAATGACTGTTAGGGTGTAGTCGGAGGACAGCGCTCTGTTGGGGGAGGAGTTGGAGGGCAGTGCTCTGTGTTGGGGGTGGAGTCGGAGGGCAGCGCTCTGTGTGGGGGGCGGAGTCGGAGGACAGCGCTCTGTGTAGGGGGCGGGAAGTCGGGGGACAGCGCTCTGTGTAGGGGGCGGAGTCGGGGGACAGCGCTCTGTGTGGGGGGCGGAGTCGGGGGACAGCGCTCTCTGTGTGGGGGGCGGAGTCGGGGGGACAGCGCTCTGTGTTGGGGGGCGGAGTCGGGGGACCGCGCTCTGTTGTTGGGGGCGGAGTCGGAGTCGGGGGACAGCGCTCTGTGTTGGGGGCGGAGTCGGGGGACAGCGCTCTGTGTGGGGGGGGGAGTCGGGGGACAGCGCTCTGTGTGGGGGTCGGAGTCGGGGGACAGCGCTCTGTGTGGGGGGCGGAGTCGGGGGACCGCGCTCTGTGTGTGGGGGGCTCGGAGTCGGGGGACCGCGCTCTGTGTGGGGGGCGGAGTCGGGGGACCGCGCTCTCTGTGTTGGGGCGGAGGAGTCGGGGGACGCGCTCTCTTTGTTGGGGGGCTCTGTGAGTCGGGGGGACAGCGCTCTGTGTTGGGGGAGGAGTCGGAGGACAGCGCTCTGTGTTGGGGGGTGGAGTCGGAGGACAGCGCTCTGTGTGTGGGGGGTGGAGTCGGAGGACAGCGCTCTGTGTTGGGGGTGGAGTCGGGGGACAGCGCTCTGTGTTGGGGGTGGAGTCGGGGGACCCGCGCTCTGTGTTGGGGGTGGAGCCAGTGCTGTGTCATTAGTAGAAGTGGTTGCAGGGAATACAGAGACATCAATAATGAGGAGAGGGACCTGCAATCCATTAGAAGATGAAATCATCCCATCCCCCCCCCCCCCCCCCACCAGACATGTCATCACACTGAGAGCGCCACCCCCTCCCCCCACATCCATTTCATCCTTTTATTTACTGTATTTTTTTGGAACAATGTTCTGTTTACCTGAATATTATCCTGATCACATGACACTCCCCATCCCCCAGATCTAAACATTTCTGTGTGTATACATCTATTTATATCCCATGTGTGTATACATCTATTTATATCAGTTGTGTGTATACATCTATTTATATCCCATGTGTGTATTACATCTATTTATATCCCATGTGTGTATACATCTAGATTTATATCAGTTGTGTGTATACATCTATTTATATCCCATGTGTGTATACATCTATTTATATCCGTTGTGTGTATACATCTATTTATATCCAATGTGTATCTCCACCATTGACCCCCCCAGATCCTTCTCCACCATTGACCCCCCCAGTTGTACCCCCCCTCAGTATGTATGATGCATATTCTTAGCCCCCCCAGTGCAGAATCTTACATTTATCAGCATTAAGTCTCATTGGCCCCATAGTTGTAATTAAACAGGGATGAGGGGAGTTGTGATTGGAGAAGATGATGGGAGTTGAGGTCGGAGGGAATGGTGGGAGTTCTAGTCACTGGGCTCTGGCTGGTTTCTGTTACTGGAGGAGATCAGGGAAGTTGTTCAGATCCATGGGGAGGGTGTGTGTCATAGGGGGAGGTGTGTGCAGTGGGGGGGGAGGTGTCATGGGGGGATGTGTGTGCAGGGGGGGTTGTCATTGGGGGCAGGTGAGTGCAGTGGGGGGTTGTCATGGGGGGAGGTGTGTGAAGTGGGGGGGTTGTCATGGGGGGAGGTGTGTACAGTGGAAGGGCTTGTCATGGGGGCAGGTGTGTGCAGTGAGTGTGTGGGGGGAGGGTTGTCATGGGGGGA